AAATTGGAAGCTGAGCTGATGCCTTTTGCTCTGAGATGCAAACTTACGAGACCAGGCAGGAGGAAGTACGGTATATTAGACAATAGACTCGAGAGAAAGCTGGGCTTATATGGTTGGCTGCATTCTGTGTGCCTATTTTTAGAACAATTAAGAATGATTGACAGTCAAGCCTTTTCCCTAAATCCTATTCTGTTTCAATCTGGCTGGTTTTTTTTGGCATCTGCTTTCCCTTCTCTTCGTCCCCTGTGGATTCTCCTGGTTTAATGGCGAAACAAACATTGGCTTAATGAAACCTGGCAGGAATATTGAAGAGGTGAATGGGTATTTCTGGGCTAAAGCTGGAAGTCCCCGAGCTCAGATGGCAGACAGGAAGGACCAGTTTTTGAGGGACTTCGTTGGCCTAGCAGGGAGAAGAAATGAATCAAGAGCATGTGACAAGGTTGGAGAAGTTGGAGACCTCTGGGTTAGCTGATCGTTCAAGGTCTTGTGCCAAACCAGACGGTTGCTTTAGGAAAGCTGATAAGCAGGAGGCTAGCCAGCAAAACATGACTTCATGCCTGACAACGTGCTAGGCAGCTGAGGTTGTTACCAAGCACAGCAGCAGCTTGGGGAATGTCTGTTGATGATGAAGTCACCATACTGACTGCCTTCTGGGTGAAGGTGGTGATGCGAGACTCAAAATCTGTGGAAAGAACCCTATGCCAACTCGTAAATCATTCCTATGCCTGTTTCCAAGTTGCCATAAGAAGGCGGGGAGGCCTGAGGCAGCAGTGTGGCAGATAAAGGCCAGAAGCACATTCCATGCTTATCTTATGGAGATTGTAGCCTAGGCTACTGATCTTCTGCACCCCCCAAAAATGGTTCATTGGAGAATATGATTGATGACACCCAGCCCGTGAACGTGTTTCATTGGAGAATCTGATGTATGACACACCCAGGGGGTCTCAGAGTTGGCTACATACGGGTTAATGCTGGACGTGTTGCTCCTAATAAATCTTTGGGATTCTTTTGAAGTTGGCTCGAGACTCATGATTTAATTAGGGCAGTTGCTGGAATCCTGACACCGAATTAAGAAAACACCAACCCACCACTGCGGTTACCTTTCCTTCAAGAAGATGGCAGGATGTCGTGGAAGCAAAATCATGAACATTCGCACAAACCAAGCTTAGGGTTTGTGATGCAGCAGATTGACTTATTCTCCAAAGTATCAGAAGGCAGAACAAGAAGAAATGGGTGGAAGATGATCCAACTTAGAAATAAGGAGAAATTTTCTGACCGTGAGAAGAATGAATCAGTAGAAGAGCTTGTCTCCCGGAGTTATGGGTGCTCCATCCCTGGAGGTTTTCAAAAATAGACTGGACAATCATTTGACTGGGGTGTATAATATCTCCTGCCTTGAGCAAGGAGTTGGACTAGAAGATCTCTAATGTCCCTTCCAGCCTTATGATTCTACGTTCAACTATAGGCACTAGTGAGGTTTGTAATGCAAACATGCACTCTGTGATTTTGTGTATAAATCTTTCACCCTCCCCCAATTCCAGGAATTCAACCTCAGCGTGTATAATTGATGAGACGTTGACCACGGATGGCTCTGTTGTTCTTCACAGTCTATCTTTTATCCCCCCCCTCCAGCGATGAAAGAAAGCCAGTAGCCCCCAGATCCTCCCACAAATCACACAGGTGGGTTTGTCAAAACCCTTTTTGGAGAAGGAGGATTTACTTAAATCCCGATCCCTTGGCACGGAGGAACAACGGTCTATATTTTTCAGCTTGGGTTAGGTGGAAACATTTCTTGGCACCTCCGAGTTTAATTAAAAAATGTTGAAGCAAAGCTGACGCTTTGTGTGGGTTCCTGTATTGGCTGCTGAAGCTTGATTACTATTTTCAGGTTTCACCCAGGGATTATTAACAAGCAGATTGAAGGGGTGTTAAGTTTACTGCGGGGAGTCACAAGATGGCATGAGTAAATCGTAGGTAAGGAATGTAATGCATTGCGTGGATCTGAAATGACCTGGATGACTGAGAATGTCCACAACAGACATTGAGCAGGTCTATGAACTCCTTCTCAATTTCTCCACAAAGTTCTAGAGCCAGAATTTTTGGGGTTCTCCCTGCAGCTACCTTGAACCCCAGGACTGAATCACAAGGAGACTTCTTGGCCATGATGGATCCATAATGATGATTAAGGATAGTATAGGGCCTCCTGCTTGAGCAGGGGTTGGATTAGAAGACCTCTAAGGTCCCCTTCCAATTCTATTTTATTTGTTTGTTTGTCCAACACGTACAAGATAACAAGTATGAACATAAACAAGATAATGGGAGTAAATGCAGATAAATGGGGACAATAAGACAGGGATGGTAGCCATGCTGGTGCGCTTATGCACGCCCCCTTTAAGGACCTCTTAGGAATGGGGTGAGGTCCACGGTAGACAGTTGGAGGTTGAGGCTGCGAGGAGTTATGGCTGTAACCATGGAGTCAGGTAGGGCATTCCAGGTGTTGATACTCTGTTGCTGAAGTCGTATTTTCCGCCATCGAGTTTGGAGCAGTTTACCTTGAGTTTGTATCGGTTCTTTGCCTGTGTATTATTGTGATTGAGTTGACGATTGAAGGTGACAGGTGAGATGTTGTAGCAGACAATTTTGTGTACTATGCTTAGATCGGACCGCAGGCAGCGCAGTTCCAGATTGTCCAGGCCCAAAATTTCTATTCTTCTGTGTTCTTGCCGTTTTGCTAAATCTTTTACTTTGAGTCTATGCGTACAAACTTTTCATAGAAACTATTTTTTTAAAAAAAAAAATGCTCTCGTTTGATTACTATTCACAGCTCTGCTTCGAAACAAGCCTGAGCAATTTCCATCAGGCAAGGAAAAGGCAATTTTGAAGTTAAAAAAAGGCTTTTGCCCTGGGAAAGAAGGGGGCGTTTTACTCTAATTCATTTATATTTGGATTGCAAGACCTTAAGAATGACTCGAATCTAATCCTTCCGTTACTCTCCTCGTATAAAAGCAGAGTTAAGGAGGAACCTTTGCCATTCCAGATCTCCAAATGTTTTTGGGAACACCGCTGGCAATTACAGTTCAGCAACACATGATGGCCCTAAGTCGCACAATTTGGTGATCTTGATTAACCCGAGCCGCAATGCGATTGAGATCCCTCAAGCTCTGCCTATTAATGTTTTGACATCTGCACGGGGATGAACAACAGGCACACCAACACACAGAAAAAGCATTCGCTTTTTTTCTTTTTTTTTTGGCTAATTTGCATGGTGATTCTCTACACTTTGAATTCATTTACTTTTGGAAATAAATTTGCATAATTATACCCACATAACTTTTTCATTAAACTTGATGGGTGCATAATAGAATTAATGTACTGTAAAAACAAATACTTGGTGGAGGGAAATGTTTTGAGCTAGCCGGGAGGAGGGGGAAATAATACTCAGAGAAGAAAGAGGAGAGGATCCAGGGTTCCTGTCGATGATGGATTTGTGGAGGTGGCAGTGAATTTTGCAGCGGGGACAAAATATTGTGTGCCATCTCATGTGGCCTGTAACCAATTATTCCGCTTTTGAAAAGTTAATATGCCAAAGGAGAGATGTTTAGAACATCATAGACAATTAGTTGTTGTTTTTTAAGACAAAAAAATCTCTTTCAAATCTTGTGCCTGCTTTTATGGCTTGGAATTGCAACCTCCAAAAGCTGTGGAGTTGGCAGCAGAGTCGGACAGTGGGGAAGAACATGGGTCAGTCCTGGAGTCTGGGGAGAACTCGGACAAGGGTCCTGCATCCGACACAGAGATGGGGCCAGGGCCATCTGGAAGTTATGTGCAACTCTGGAGCCTCCAGAATCTGACAGCAGCGAGGCAGAGGAAGAAGGGGAGCCTGTTCCCAGTGCGCACTTGCGCAGAGCTGCCAGAAGGCAAGAACAGTTAAGACAAAAGGGGTGATTCGGGAATAAGGCTTGGAGGTGATTGGCCCTCTCATAAGGCATAAAGGAGAAGCAGAGGGACGGGAACCTTTGCAGGAAGCAACTTTGTTCATTCTGGTTGGTTTAAAATCTGAAACTCGGTGTTGAATTTGTGTTCTGTTTTGGCCTCATATAACTAATTGGCAATTTAGTCTTTGGCAGCATTTCAAGGAAGATAAAGGTGGGTGCTTATCAGACTTATCCTGAAGGACTTTGGTGGACTTCCATGGGACTATTTACAAACTGTTTGAGACTCATTACGGGCTGTGAATGACTAAAATTCAGAGCCGTTGAAATAAAGAAAAAAGGGTTTTGGGACTAACGTGTGTTCGCTGCTGTCTCCATAAACTTTGGTCAGAACAAAACCTTCAGCCATGAAGGCCATCTCCTGGTAGACTGGTGGGCTTTGTTGGGCAGTGGTGGGTTAGTGTGAGAACCAGCTTTTGTATGAGATGAGGTAAGTCCAACCCCTGGGGCATCAGTTGTGATTTTATGTTCTTATGAGTCTCAGAGGAGAGAGAAATTTGGTGCAATTTTCCAGGGTGGAATGCAATGTTCTTGAATGTGTTTTTGATGGGGCAGTCAAGAATGCATTGGGAAGTCCTCTCTCTCGTGATCTAATCCTTTCTCCAGAGGTCTGTGTCTTCCCAGCCTGTCATTCAACTTCAAGGCAAGAGATTGGGGAAAGGTGGGGTGCGTTTTTTTCAGATTGGGAAGCAGCTGGGGAGAACGATGGAAAGATTGATCTCAGAGAACACCAGAGTTCCATCAAGTCTAATGGGAAAGGCAACTCAAAAGCACAACCCAGACAAATTTGGGAGAACTTTTGAAACAACCTGAAAATAGATTTTGAAAAAGAAAAAAGGCAGAAGTTTCTTTGGGGGTGAGGGGAGAAGAAAGTGTATGAAAAATGGCGAGGCAGATTTTGACACAGTTAGACTCAAATTGTCATCTTCCTCTCTTGGCTCTGAGAAATCCATATTTCTGAATTGTTCTTTTTATTTATTTATTTTTACCTTTCTGGTTCAATTTCAGGTGCTGCTGTCTGGACTGATTGGTGTGGTCTCTTGGAAAAGGCCCCTGTCCCTTGTGGTGAGTAAGAGCTTACTCCTCTTGTAGACCCTACAGCATTGGTGGGGGCAACGGACGGTGCCTTCAGGGTAGTCAGAAGAGAGGAATCCCATCATCTTACCTGACCCAACTGCAGGATTCCCATGAGGGGAGCTCACCTTGAACCACAGGAGCAGTCATCATCCCAACACTTCCCATAATCCCCAGCCCGCATGAAGCCACGATTGTTTGGGATTATGGGAGCTGATCCCAAAACTTTGACCTAAGCAAGGCTGTTCTATGTCACGTTGCGAAGGAGGTTTGGGGGAAACAGAGATTGGGAAAATCTGCAAGAAGAGAGGGACATAACCTTGGAGGCCCTTTGAGGAAATGGGACTATTGTGTCCTCATCTGAAGGGCCACCAGAGAAGATTGTCATTTGTGAGAAAGTTGGCATCTTGCTAAAACCGGCTCTGTTGTGCAGGAAGCCAATTTGGAACCAAGTTCTTTTTTTTAAAAAAGTATTTTGATAAGATGCCAACGATACTGATGGGAGGGTAGCAGCTCATATCTTTCCCTAAATTAATTTGATATAGATTCACTGAAGTTCAAGAAAGGGGCATCTCTGCCAAGGCCCTTGATGGCTGGAGATTGCGCGATGGGGATTGACATGAAAGCTATTCATTAATAGGAAGAAGCAGATTTTGAATGCATTGTCTTGAGTTCCTTCTGTCTAACTTCCCACCTCTGCTGCACCCTCTTATTCAAAGAGCTAAGATCCAGGCTGTTGTTAGGCGTATTCACTTCCTGTTGACTGGAGAATTCAGAAACCATTTAATCCAGAGCAGGCAGGAACCGTTGTTGAATAATTAATCCCAGTTCTGCTTGTTGAGCAGGTAAATGATCTGGGTAGGTATTTGCTCAAAGGAGACGGAGCTGACACTTGGCCGTGAATGAGCTGCTTGGAGGATCTGGAAAAGCAAACAGGAATCAGTAGATTATTTCTGAAAGGGTGGTTATTTTTCTTTCCAAAGGCATGGCTTGAAAACACCCAGAGGTATGCGCTCACCCTATTTATGAACTAGATTTAGATCCGTCTAATTCTCAGGATAGTCCAGGTGTTCTAATTTTATCCCGATAATAATCACCCAGTGAAGTTAAGTGTAGCTGAGAGCAATAATTTGCTGGTGTATCCCACAAGGAAGTGGGAGGGATTAAAATCCTGGTTTAGCAGAACTTGACTTAAGTTTTATAGGTCACCATTTTCAAGGAGAACCAAGGTAAGGTTCAACGTGCCTTGGCACCATTTTCTTGGGCCACGCAAAGCAACACGGCAGCATCCCAAACATTTGACTTGGAGATCTGGCTTGCCATTTCAGACCACAAGCCACAAGGACCTCATGTGTATCATAACATTTATTTGGTGATATTATCATGCTCCTGCACCCCTTGGGGGTGATGTCTCAGTAGGACTTAGTTGCAGAAGAAAAAAAAATACTGATTTTGAAAAGCAGCATAGGGCTCCATTAAATGCGTCAGTCAACATGACTGGACAGTCTAGTTTGGCCTGGCAGTTAAGACACCAGGCTACTAAGCAGGACACCGTGAGTTCAAGTCCTGCCCTAGTCACGAAAGCCAACTGGGTGACTTTGGACCAGTCACAAGGAGACTGGGAGTTCTAGTTAATGAAAGCCACTTGAGTGACTTTGGGCCAGTCACTCACTCTCAGCCCTAAGCCTACCTCACAGGGTTGTTGTAGTGGGGAAAATAAAAGGAGGAAGGAGTTTGCCACCTAGAGTTATTCATACAAATAATAAAGGCGGGATACAAATACATCAAACCAAAATACTTGGACCACTTTACGGGATAAAGAAGCAAAATTGATTCCTGCCCATTTAGCCTCATCGAGACTTCAGCCATGGCAACAGAAGCCAATCTTAGCGATAAATGCATGGGTGTGTGTGTGTGTGTGCTCTGTAACTCTGCTTTCTGCTGATGAGACCAGCAACTCCATTTTCATATTAATCTTGCATGTGGCATGTTTTATTCATACCAAAGCCATCAGTACCATTTGGTGGTGAAAGAACAGCTTCTTTTCTGGCTGGGCTTTGGCACCGTTGCTTGGTGGAAGAAAATAGACCCAGAATAGCAGGCAATTAGTGGAGTGTTAAGGAGCAATTTTTTCCCATTTTAATCAGCCTGGGCACCATATTTCACACTCAGTGGATAGTAGCTGTGTGCTACAATATTTAGGTCTCGCTCACTCATCTTTTAGTGCACACAAGAGCGGAGAAAGAGCATTTTTGTAGAAGAGCAGGCAGAGCTGGGAGGGGCAGAGTTAAGCAAGACATCAGCCTAGAGTCCTTACATCGCCACAAATGATGCAAATCCAACCTCTCTTGAATTCCATTGATCCTTATCTGGTGCCAGTTTAGGGTTGAATTTGGGTTGGCTAGATCCTTGTGAATCAATAAAGCCAGCTTTAACACATGTCCCTTGTTCTTTGTGCCTGACAGTTTTGCCACCATGAACCTTGGGTTTAAATTTACAGGCTGTTGTGGTTCTCTGGCAGCCTGTGCAGACGGCAGTGGAATCGGACAGTAGGGAAGAATGAGGACCAGTCAGGGAGTCTGGAGAGGACTCGGATGAGATTCCTGCATCCGATGCAGAAATGGGGCTGGGACATCTGGGAGTTATGTGCTGACTCCGGAGCCTCCGGAGTCTGGCAGCAGCGGGAAGAGGACCCAGGGGAGCCTGTTCCCAGTGCGCATGTGCACAGAGCTGCTAGAAGGCGAGAGCAGCTGAAACAAAAGAGCAACTCAGGAGTAAGGCTGGGAGGTGATTGCCCCTCCCATAAAGTACAAAGGACAGGCAAAGGTAGAGAAATCTTTGCAGGAAGCAAAGTCATTTGCTCTGTTTGGATTAAACCTTGAAGCTCTGTGTGGATTTTGTACTTCGGTTGTTTTTTTCCAGTCAATTAGGCACTTTAGTTGTTGGCAGCCATTCAAAGGAGAGAAAGGTGGGTGCTTATCTCGAGGAACTGTTTGGGATTCATTACGGGCTGGGAATGCACATAATTCCCAGCGTTGAAATAAAACCAGAGTTGTTTGGACTAAGAGTGTGTTTAATTACGGTCTCAGGAAGGCTTGGTCAGAACACAGGCTTTGCACAATAATCTAAGGCATAACTCAGCTTAAAGTTGCCAAGATCGAGCAACCCTGATCTAACTAAGGATGGGTTGTTTATGAGATTTACAAAATGAAGGATTAGCAGGATATGTGAAGTGGCCTGTAAAGTCACAGTAACCAAGCATCAATCTCAGCACAGCCATTCCAAAGAAAAGGGGATATTTCAAAAATCTCCAAATTGTACACCAGAACAAATCCATCGGTCCTCTGTCTCGTCCACCCCATCCTGTCGGATCGCTGAGTGAAAACTCGCCACAGATTTGCAACTAGACCTTCAGATTCTGGAGAGTCTCGTTTTTCCAAACACAGGTGTATACCTTTCTTACACTTTTTATAAGGGTTCTATTTTGTCAGCAAATGATTTTTAGTCTCCGAGTGAATAAATGATATGCGGGAAGGGGCTTTGGAGAGACAAGTCTTCCTTTGTGGCTTTGCGATACGACACGGGGAGCTGTCAGCTACTCCATCCTGAAAGAGATACGCCAAGGTGCAAAGCTGAGTGATTGAGTCGCTCAATAACAGGCGCTAATTGACCAGTTTGCTAATATTTCTGGGGTGTCCATTTGTGCGTATCCACGCATTTTTCCTCTGGTTGTATTGCAAGGAAAGCTTTGCTAATGATGTGGCTGGCGTCCCTGCCCTCAGGTAATTATTTGCAGAAGTAGCTCTAATACGCAGCAAACATAATCTTCGGGCACAAAGGAGCATCTGCATTTTAATATGTCATTGGCTCCGAATACCTTAGACGGTCAGAAGGTAAATGCACGAGTGACAGCTTTCTTCAGCCTTCCTTCTCTGCAAGGAATGCCATCAACCCTGCAACGTATCCGTGGTTAGCTGTGAGCAGGTAGATTTCTAGATTTCTTTTCTGAAATGTTTTTGTGGAATGTTTTTTCCCCGCCCCGTCCATTTAGTTTATACCCGTGAGCTTAACAAGAGTGTTAAGTAACCATTGCTTTCCTAGGTGAATTGAATGTCACCAACTGAGCGTGCCTGTTTTGACATTGGAGGCTGCTGGTCATCAGCAGGATGATTTAAAAGAAAAGAAAAAGGGGAAGGAGATGTTTGATGTCCAGATCAAAAGTGCATTTAGGCTTGATGAGATGTGAGACTCGTGAGTTGACATGCTCCAATTCTGAATGGATTGCTGGTTCCATTCCAAATGCTGAATTGTCTATGTAGATCCTCAGTCATCCAGGTTCCCCCCCCCCCCAGGAGGCAACTGGACTTTCTGGTTCTCCTTTGAAGACATTTCACTTCTCAACCAAGAAGCTTCTTCAGTTCTGACTGGATGGTGGGGAATGGAAGGATTTATATCCTGAAACCAAAAAGTCAAGTTGACTCTTGAAAAAGCACCTTTGAGACTGCAAACACTGCTAATTTTCATGGGTGGGGTTACTCCTAATGTCTCTAAAATCAGAGCCTTGATGCTGATGGTTGAGGAACAATAATAAACGAGGAAAGAATCAGCCTATCCACTTATGGCCAGAAACCAATAGTGTTCTGTTGTGCCACTCATAAAACTATAGACGAAGAGACTGGGCTATATGTTTTATGTTTGGTTCTGAGCATTTGTGTTCAGTTTGGGGGTCAAATCAGTATTGCAGTATGGGCAATACTCTTTTCTTGAGTATTATACTTTGCTTTTCTGCTCTGATCATTCACACTTAAGTAGTTTAATGTATTAATATTGGGTTATTTCAATGAAAGCCAATGAAGTAAGATTCTTTGTAGAAATCAGTGATAGGAGGATAGTATAAAGAAACAGAAATCTCTTTTTTGGCTGGATATTTGTATGGTTTTTACGTCTGTATATCTCTTTATCAACCTTAGTAACTTTAAGATGTGTGGACT